TCTAGTCTTTCAGTATATCATGTATATTACGATTTATGTCAAGTAACTTCAAAATTGTGTTGTTTTAATGATAACATATTTGTACATTTTGTCGCATCTTTGATATTTTTTGATTGTTTTTTTGTCTGTTATTTTTATCTTCACTGTATTTTTGTGAGCACTATATAGTCTTTAGAAAAATAACCTTTTATATATTTTTGACATTTCATATATTTATAAACATGACACCCTTTGTCGGCAACAAATATTACATTTTAGACCCATATCTCATACAGCGGGTCCAAGCTATACTGCCTCGGGAGTTTCATCCAAGAATAATGTTTTGCAGGTGGTTGATTCGTACGATGGCACACAATAATGATTTCTCATAGTTAGGTATATTGTACCATTCATGTTACGAAATACAGGGTGTTCCATTTTTAAAAACACAACTTCGATATGTCACACTTTTTTGAGCCACCCTGAGTGTCGTAAGGGGTGTATAATGAAAATTTGAACACAATCTTTTTTATAATTCTGTGTGAATCGAAACTACTCGAAATTATTTTTTTCTGAGGTTTTCAACTGAAATACCTCATATTTTATTCAGGATGCGAATTATATTTGAAAAACTGCCTCAGTAAATATGAAATAGGGAAATATCTAGTGATTCGAAATATATAACGGAAATTATTCAAAATGAATATTATCAACATTGAACTTCTGCAACAGAAACTTCAGAGTGAAATATATAGAGGTAAATCAATACATCTCTCTCCCTTTTCTCTTTCTAAAATATGAAAAAGTAGATTTTTTGGTAACTTCACTCCTTCACACCGTATTTGTGTATTCGTTGCCAGGAATGTTGCGAAAGATGTTATCGCTTCTTCTATGGTGCTGGAAAAGAGACTATTCTTTCACTATCCAGATTCAGCATAGCAAAACCTAAAAAAATGACAAATTTCGTGTGCAACGAGGTTAACTATTTTGCTTTGCCAGTTTTCAGAGAAAAAAATTCAAACAGGAAAGGCTTCAAATTATAATGAGATTGATGAAACATGATTGCGATATAAATTCTGAAACTACAATTTTTCCAATACCAGATATCGTAAAAAATGCATTTATCAGGCAATATATACAAGAGACGAAACGGTTGCAGAATTATCACTATAATTACGGGTTATTTCAGCCATTTACCAATGACATTACTTTTTCTACTTCATTCATAATGAATGAGTCGTCCAATTTATTCATTCTCGTAACTGAAATAGACGTTTCTCTGATAGATTTTAAATAGTTACCTTTTTCAAATCTACTGTCAGTTTTTCACCAGCTCATGATAATAGCGGATTGAAAATGGTAAGTATGGTTCTAACAATTACCTGTTCCAATTCGAGTACTTTTGAGGCCCACACTGTCCACACTAAGAGAGAGAGAGAGAGAGAGAGAGAGAAATACGTTTATTGTCCTAAGAAAAAGTTTTTGTTGACATACGTTGACATACGAACTATGTTGAATCAGTATAAAAGTAGTACCTAAAATCCTACCTATATAAAATAGAATGTCCGACACATTTTTACAGAGAACATCAATGCTATAAAAATTAAAAATTCCTTTAAAACATTGAGTGATCACTATAATACTCGAAAAAGACTGTTATGTTCACAACTTATAAAGAAAAATAACTTTTATAAGACTACTTGGAACACTTTTGCGTATTTTATTAGTTCTTCAAAGAACCCTATCTGGCCCCGATACTTACTTCGGCCATTACAATATGTTAGTGAAGATCGGATCGTTCCGTGGCATGCGAATACAAATAGTTCAAAGGTATTTGAGAAAACTTGAGACAAAAGAGAGTATTCTGTACAACCCAATACAAACTATCTCTGATCAGAACTACCAAGAGCGGAAATGTATAATTCTGTAAACCAGTTGTTGGCCACATAACTTGTGCAGGCAAAGCATAGCGAAACTATAATTTTTCAACAAGCAAGGATCAGACCAGAGCAACACAGTTGCTCAGAAAAAGCAATGAAATCAAACCACATGGTACTTTTATGACTGTAACCAACTAAGTAACCAGCCACCAAATGACCAATATGAAGTGATCCCAAAATGTCTTGTAATATACTCTAAACAAGATTCAAAACTGTCAAAAAGGATTGAGTCAATGTGGATGGCATCAACAAAGTAGTATGAGTCTAGAGGTATGTTGGTCATACATAACCGATCATCAAACCTCCCAAAGGGAACAAAGACATTCCTCATACATCCCTTCAGGAATGTTTATTCCTCGGACAGTCATGATTGGGACACGGTACATGTCAGAGGGGACTGATTTTTTTTCGGTGCGTCCTAGGGATGTACCATGTAGTATATGGTACATCTCAGGGACATCCACTGGATATAGTATTTTCAATTTGTTACATCCTAGGAATATTTCTAGTGAGTATGTCTGATCATGAATGTTCCTGAAATGTCCTGATTCGGCTATCTGCCATTGCACGACCATGGAAATCGATGAGAGAGGCAGAAAGAGAGTGAGAGAGAATCAAAACATATATCTAACCAAATTGAAATATTTTAAACCACCCAAAAATATGGATAAACAATAACTAAAATAAAAATGTTGTTTTCAATTGAATGTTGTTGAATTTTTATTGGAGATACTACCCTCTAGTAGAATATCTCTCGAAGGATGTCTGAGAGATGTTCCATTCAAATCCTTGTACGTACAGGACACCATGGAACATGAATTGGACAGACCTGATATATCCCTGTTTCAGGCCGTAATGAAATGGAGCATTCGTGAGCACAATCAAAGATTAGACAGGGACTGGTAGTTTTCTAGTACTATATTCAAACACAGTGATGAATCATGTCACCCTGTATAACATTCACAGTAATTCTAGAGTATCTTTACAATTCTACTAGTTGAAATTTTTGAAAAGCAGTTTTGAACAATCGTAAATAACTCTCAAATTAGTTCAACAATTTAGACCTTGCAGAACAGAATTTATTGGAACAGACAACTGATGTCTCAAAGGACTTGAAAGGCTTATCCAATCAGGTTTGTATATCAATCAACTAGCATATGAACCGACCAGAACTACTAAAGGGTGAATATTCCTACAGGCAGTAGGTGACTTCAGCAATTGCGGAACTAGCCAAATGTTACACCCATGCTCAATCCCTAAAGAGATGGGATGGAATCAAAGGATGCAGTCTTGCCAGGATCACCTTGTGCGACCCTGAGAAGCTGGCGCCGAAGAAATATCTGGCGATGACCAGGAAAATTCTACGCTTGACAGTAGGATTTCTGACTGGCCACTGTCAACTAAGAAAACACCTCCATAATATGGGGCCAGTGAACAAACGTCTATGCAGGATGTGTGAACAGGAAGATGAGACTGTCCGGCATGTCCTATGTGAGTTCCCGGAGTTACCGTCAATAAGACTCGGCGAGTCTTGGCCTACACCTGCCGATATAAAGAAGATGTCTCCTAGTGACCTGTTCAACTAACTGGAAAGGGCAGGATGGACGATGATCTAGGAGTACAACTCTTCGGAAACATGTACAATGGGTTACATGTGGCCTAAGTGCTGTGTGCTTACACTCACCCTCCCTACTCAACAGATACAGATCCCTACAAGCATTTGTCATAGTCGCCGACGAGGAGTGAATTTACTTGTGTTCACTTCTATACGGTGCCTATAGTTATTGGTGATCATTAAAAAATCTAGCTTGAAATATTCGAAACTCATCTCAAGTGAAATCTGTTATTCCAAACCATATTTTTTTTCTGAGCAGGTGGATTTTGGACAAGTATTTGAAACCGAAAAATCTATTCTGAGTTTTTGTGGATTCTATCCTGGAGGGAAAAACAGAGAAAATCGAAAGCCTTTACGCACATTCTTCAGCATCAGCGGAATCATCTTATTAATTATATCCATCCCGATGTTGGTCGTTGAAGGAGAATATGAGAAGCTTCTGGATAGTTCCGTTATGTTCATGATCGAGCTCACAGTTATCGTCAAGCTATTATTTTTAATGACAAGAGGGGAAAAACTATGCCAGATCGAAAATTTCATTCGGATGATGAATTCAGCGAAAATTCCTGTTAGTATTTTGAAGTACGTTCGTGAGGATACCAAGAAAAGAGGAAGAATGTCGATTTGTTTCCGGGCCCTGATAGTCATATATCTGTTTATATTCGGAATTATGCCGTTTTTGGGTCAAGGACCGAAGGTTCTCCCTGTGATAATTTGGGCACCATATGATTTGGAAAAAGCAATATTTTTCTATCCAACATTTCTCGGAGAATTGGTTATTCTGGCCATAAGCGCATTCAGTAATTCCAGTTCAGATCTGATGTACTACATCCTCGTGGATATTGCTTGTTGCCAGCTTGACATACTGAAGGAGAATTTAAGAGGAATTGATATGAACGGAAATGTCGATATGGTACAGAAACAGCTTAGAATGTTTGTTATCGATCATGAACTAATCATACGGTAAGATAACTCATTCACCCTTTCTTTCATTTTCGTAGTTTATGTTAAATGTTCATGCCTCCTCATACACTGTTTCCTGATAACCAACCCATACCAACCGTTACGACGTCAGTGCTGAATCCCCTCATCATCCTTCCCAATTGAATTCCGTTTTGAATACCCCCAGACACAGGTTCATCAGACTCACTAAAGGCCACAAAAATCCACGGCACTAGACGAACTGTAATCTGCCCTTTGCCACAACAATTATACCGAATGCCAAATCCAAATATCCATTCAACTTCAGCAAACCCATAACCCACATCTCAACCAACTCGAAACAGACAGAATATCCAAAAGCTTTTTTTCTTTGTATTCATGATATTACCGACAAAGTTAGCCAAATTCTGAAAAAGCACGATATAAGAACAGTATTTACAGCTAACACTCAAATTTCCACTTTTCTACGAACACCCATGAAAAAACGTTCCAAGTGTTTGAACAAACGAGATGACTCACAAAGAGTATCCTATTCATAGAGATCATAACTGTCGCATCGTACATTTCACAACACTGCACAACTCGCTTCTGCAAGACACACCCCCGTTTCCACCACCAACTCCACCCTCGCTTCCACTACCGGTTCGCCCCCCCCACTCGTATAGAGACATAACTGCCAGACCAGAGCCTGAGGACGAGGACCCACAGTTGATGCTTGAGAGTAGGCAGATTGAGAACTTCATTACTGTCACTGTGCTGCTATATTATATTTGTTTAAAATGGCTTCTACCCCGTCATTTCGAATAGGAAGGTTAGATTTTTCTAACTCCTCTAGTTAGAAAAAGAATTCTTAATCGCAACGGTCTCGACGCGGTGGTGGCGTATTTCAAGTTGTCTTTAAACAACGCTTTTCGCGCGGCCACAGCCAAAACGGAGAGTCCACTGCGAACCTACAATGAGTTTCATCCCAGTATAAATATCCTCGTCCAGGAGAGGAATACACTCAGACGAGTTTATCAGTGGACTTTCTATCCTGGAGGTGGAGCTAGCTGCGGCTAGCAGGATGGCCAACCAGTTTAAACAGGCCATCACTGACTACCAAAACGAGAGGTGGAGCGAGTGTTTGGAATCGCTCAAACCTGGGGATGAGGAGCCCTGGCAAATCATTCGCAGGCTCGAAACGAGGAAGCGCTCCCTACCCTCTTCATAGACAGCGCGGCATCTGCTACACCACCGCCGAGAAGGCGTTAGCCTTTGCAGATACAATGAAGAGTTAGTTTCGACTTAATGTTGATACAGATGATGATTTCGACCGAGATATCCGGCTGGAACGTCGGGATGAACGCATCTTGAGGGAAAATAATGATGACGTGATTCGTACAGCTTCGGAGCAAGAACTGAGGGGTATATTAGGGCATCCATGCCCAAGAAGGCTTCAGTTGTTGAAGCAGCTCCCCGAAAACTCCATCAGATATCTGTTGAATATAATAAACAGCTAAATCGCCTTAGATACTTCTGTTAAAAATGGAAGCACTCCGTGGTTGTCATGATTCCGAAACAGGGCTAGAACCCTCTGTTTCCCCAGAATGACCATTCGGTTAGTGTGCTTTGCTCAATGGCTGAGTTGGCTGAACGTGTTGTGCTGCAGAGGCTAACCAAATAAGTTGAAGGCCGAAATGTTCTGCCCGACGAACAATTCGGCTTCAGGAGGGCACACTCCTGCAGGCTGCAGGCCCCGAGACTGGTCGAACATTCCATCTCAGAGCTGAATAACAAGAAGACAGTCCATCTTGTCCCCCTGAATATTTCAAAGGTTTTCGACCGAGTCTTGCACGAAGGCCTAGTACATAAACTGCTCGATTTCGATCTGCCTCGGGACCTGGTCCGGTTTTGTAGGTCCTTTCTGAGAGACATAAGTTTCAGGTACGAGTTGGAAGAACCCTATCCCCTGTAAGGGAAATCCAAGCTGGAGTACCTTAGGGAGCTGTGCTGTCCCCATTACTTTATAGACTGTACGTGAGCGACCATTCTATGTTCAATAAAGTGAAGGTTTCCCTTTAAGCTGACGGCTCTCTTCGCTTCTTCCATGGGTAGGCCGTTGGCGATCTTTTACATGCAACGTGCATTGGACGACCTCGAACGCTGGTATCTAGATTGGTTGATTCATGTGAATCGAGGCGATAGAATTAGGAAGACGTAACGTTTCTCCAGACACAAGGTTTATGATCTAAGGTAGGGAGATCGAATGGCAACCGCGAGTCAAGTACTTGGGTCTTTGGATAGATCGCTGACTCACCTGGGTAAATTACATTGAGAAGATCAAGAGCAAAGTTCAATCGAGGATAGGCAGACTCTATTCTTTGGTCAACAGACAGTTAAAGCTCAACTATAGAAATAGGTTTTACTGAACAATACGATGCTCTAACCTGTCATTATGTATGCTTCAGGCACTTGGGGACAAACCGCTCTGCCAAATCTTTCCATCCTGGAAATATTACAAAATAAGATTTTACGGATGCTGGTGAATGCTCCATAGTTCGTGTGGAATGAAGCCATCCGCAGAGATTTGAAGCTGTTGACTATACAGCAGTCCATCCAGTGGAGGAATCAGAGTTTTCGAGTCAGCGGAAACTCATGAAAACGTATTAGTTAGGGAAGCTGTAGATTACACTATAGACGACCCCACCCGATTCAGAAGGCCCCGTCGCTCATTTGAATGAAGGCCCCACCACGTCCCCGTTAAAGTTAAAAGTTTGTTCATCAATCACCCCCTGTTTGTAGGGGGTACACAGAACCAGAGCGGTATAGAAGTCACTGATTTTTATGTCGCAACTAAACACCTTGCGTTTTGAACCATTCGTCCTGATGACGAAGTTTATATCTTACCTAAAAGTTCTATAAAAATGTACATGGTTTTATTCGATTTGGAATTATTTTCGGTTTGAGAGGTATATATTTTCAATTGTGTTATAGGTAGAAATATTGGTAACAGTAGAGAAGTTAGAACCCTATTGCTATCAATGTTTTTATACGACCCACAATTGAATGTCGCTGTATGTAATCATTTTGAAACAACATGAATACATGAACGAAGCACTCCAAAATATGCAAAAACGTGTTTCTGGCTCATTAGCTGCCATCAGTCCGTATATTGCTTTAATAAGAGATACCCATTCTGTTTCAGGTTTGTGAAAACGATTCAGAGCATATACTCCAACATTATCTTCATCCAATGCATATCAAGTGTTCTCATCATCTGTTTCCAAGGATTTCAATTGATTGCTATTGTGAGTATATGTTTGAGAATCCGTATGTTGTAGGAGACCTGGGATTCAGGGCACATCACTATTTTTTGCAGAACAGACAAATTTAGAACGTATCCTTTGTCAGGTACTATGATGAAGCATGATCATTCATTGCAAATATAATGCAATTCAGAACAATGACAATTGATGTACTCCATCTGGATCTTCAATTGTCTGAAAATAAAATATGTACAACCCTCTCACGAATTAAAATTCCACTAGAACAAAAGACAATAATGACTTCATCCAGACATTCCAAGGACCACCCACAAAGATAAGACAGTAAACAATTAACAATCGGACCTATTATAATTGGGATATCTATATTATCTGTTGAATGGTTGTTACGAATTCTTGTTAAGAATCCTGGTAGCCAATAGTTGTTGACAATTTGTATTGAGAATATTGGTTGAATTCTAGTCAACAATTCTAGTTGTTCATTCTTTTCATCTACTTGATCAGTCAACCTAGCCACAATTTATCCAGTGTGATGTCTAGTAAGAAGGCAAATAAACTCAAGTGGATTAAACACTTCGGCCAAGTGTTGAGCTAGTACGCCACTATGCGCGTATTGTGGCTCCACCCATTGTGTAATCTCAGCTCTCATCCAGATGAACAGCGCTTTTTTAGGTTACCTTCCACAATCTTTTCTGCACCGGTACATTATTCATAATGGAAGAATTGTTATGTGACGGCAAATGACTAAGCAGTGCCCTTAGTTATCTTATTCCGGGACAAATATAACAAAATAATGAGAATGCTCCTAGCAGGCCCCAAATATTATGACAAGATGAACCAAGGCATACTCCCATTCGAATCCTCCACAGTATCATTCACCAAGAGGACCAAGATACAATAATAATAACTTCGAATAAAACAGTGTGTGAAATTGAAAGTGACCAACAATACGTAAGTTAGACGTTATTCAAATGATATTGAGCTATAAAGAAAGAGAGGGGTAACTAAACCGTCGGTTGAAAGGGTACGCACATCAACCCAAGAGTCTTCCTGAGGAAGACCCATAGTGAGAGGTTTATTCGATCCTTCACTGCAACCTGCGAGATTTTACTGTGACTCGGTGTAACTGATATCTACTGACGAATTTTGTTTTTTGTTCCAGATCAAATTTCCTTCAGCGAAGTATTCAATAGACACTGTCTTCATACTCATGATGTTCTATCAGATATATTGGTACTGCTGGTTTGGGCAAAACATTATTATCAAGGTGTGGTTGGAAGATTTTGCATTGAATTCCTTACTGATGTTTATTTCCAGAGTGTCGAGGTGGGAGAAGCATGTTACTTGACAAATTGGTATGACTCCGATTTGAGAGTAAGAAAAACTATTACTATTATTATGGAAAGATGTAAGAAACCTTTGAAACTAACAGCGAATCTGTTCACTTTGGATATTGCGATGTTGGTTTCGGTAAGTTGAAGAGTGATTCATCAACTAATTATCTCCATATACACAAATACGTAGGTATACATTGAAAAAATCTAATCTTTTTCCAAAGAGAAAACATTTGCTACAAATCTGCAATGGTATTGCTCAAACGAAAAAAACTGCTACAAATGCTCTTTACTGTTTTGATGCATATGCGCCGTTGAATCAATTTTATTGAATTCAATTGTGTTATTTAAATTGCATCTTTTCAATTGTAGTTCGAATGTTGTGTTTCATTCAAATACTTTAGAAATATATCAAATAACAGTGCGTTTGCTCTTCGAGAATATACCGAACCTATTAGTGTATTATTACGTTTTTCCCCGTGGGTTACCGATAATTAACTACATTATATGATAATCAAATTCAACTTTATTTCACAACAAAATACTTCAACTAAACCTCCAACTATAATTCAAATGTCTATCACCTTATAAGATCACTTTGCACCACTCTATCCGCGAAACTTGACTATATCGATATGCTCGTAGGTAGCGTTTATATGTGGCAAACAAACTATTCCGACACCAGCGGAGAATTCCTCAGAAATACATCGAAGCCGGTGGTATATTCGCCGGGATTCCATCGACGCTGGTGCGAATACTAAAATAATCGAGGATGCGCGCGGTCTTTTTCTACGTCACAGTTGATTTATGGCTACCAGCGGCGGACGTCGTTATTTTCTTAAGGGCATGATCTACAATAGTTTGAATTTTTGTTTGGTATAAATAATCCAGGACACTTAAATATGTTTAGCATGGATACAGCTAATTAGTCTAGAGAAATTTGTTTGTCTCCTTCTAGATAAAGGTTGGAAAAGTCTCGTCCCGGGTATGAGCATGATACTCAAGGAAATCTTATATCACTCAAAGATGTAATTGTTAAAAACAAAGTGGCAAATAAAACAGTGTGTGGTCGCAACATCTACAAAATTATAAGAGAATATATCAGTGATCATACATTTTCAGCACCAAAAAGCAACCAAAATCCAATAATATTGTTAATAATATTGTCCATTATTCCAGCTTCAACATTCATAGCTCTTTGCATCATTTTGAAAATGCCACCATAAAGATTTATTTACTTTCAGATTCTGCGAACTTCATACTCATATATGGCTATACTACGAACATTATACAGTGAATAAATTGGACAAAGAACGAACATCTCATATCATTGGATCAAATGGCAAAGGAAAATCACTGAACTTCACTACTACTTCACTAAATGTTTGGATGCACCGATTTTATTCATTATCACCTCATCAATATACACTTTTGAATTATCGGTATATTGTTCAATTCACTGTTTTTTTTAGGAGACACATCTGAACACCCTTAGAAATTCCTTGCTGTATGGTTGAAAGAGACTCACACATTTTGTCTCAGTCTCGTTTCGTTTCGTCCCACTCCGTTCCTTTTCATTCTATTTCATTTCTTTATATCCTTTCATATCCCATCTTATCCTATCCTCCCCTAGCATATCCTATTATTATGAAAGTAACTATATAGGGCAATACAGAGGTCGGCAGTTCATAACAGTGAACCTCAAGCGTTGATATTTTGACAACGATCCAAGTATTGACTGAACTTCCTTTTTCAATATTTTCAACACTGGTAAGATTCAAACAGGTATTTATTATCATCAGATTTTGAAGTGATCATTAACAACATCATAAAATTTTCATTATGTGTGTGCTCGTGTGTGGGCATGATATAATTGAATAAAAGTGTTTCTGTTTCCTTTTGGAGTATGACTGGATGGAAACTGAATTAGTTGTTTGTTTTGTTTCTCATGTCGATATATTTCAGCATCATCGCCAAATTGTATGAGACTTTTATCACCTGCAATTGAAAAATTAACACATAAACACAAATTATGAATGATGGTAATATCAGGAAGGATAATTGTTTGAGATACAGGAAAGGCAATCTGCAGAATTTTTAAAACGTTATATAACATTTCTCTATTTCAAAATACTGAATTTTCAAATTACGTCAGGTGTGACTAGAAGGAGAGATTCTGAAAATGTCTTTTGAAAACGATGGAAGAATTCTACTCCTCTTAAGTTCCTGCTCTTGATTTAGATATTGATAATATAGTTTGAATTGACAAGATGAGAGTGATGATGACAGCAGCAGCGGTTCTGATCTTTCAGGAATTCAATATTTACGATGGTATGAAATTAAACCGAATTTTCAGGTTATTCATTCATTTTTGAAAATCCATTGAGTCATATCCAGTTGAATAATGTTGTTTCCAATCCTCTTTGCATTGTATATCAACAACTTATTGGAAAAAACGAAGAATCCAATATATTGGATAAGATAATGTCAGAACTGACAGTTCCGCTATCTGCTTCGATAAGTTTGTAGGGGTTAAAATGGACACCAATATGTCTTGGCACAATCATGTCGCTGGAACTGCAAAGGCTGCTTCTCAAAAGCTTAAAACACTGTTCCGAACCAGAAAACTGTACACACCTCAGCAACTTTTGATGCTTTACAAAGCTCAGATCAGACCTTCTTTGGAGTATTGTTCTCATCTATGGAGCTCCGGCCCTAGGCATATCCTGAAGCTGCATCCAGAAAAGAGCCATCCGCCTGATTGGATACGCGGACAACCTTGATAGTCTGGAACATTGAAGAAAGGTTGAGGATTTGTCTGTCTTCTATATTTTCACGGAAAGTGTTCAAGTAACTGTGGCTGCTCGTTTTGAGGTTCAACTCAGTACACCTCGAATTTCACTGTTCAAGAACTATTCCATTTGGAGAACTGCATTTATGTTGAATAAACTTGCTGAGAATGTTTTTGCAAATGGATTGAATTTCGATTCGAATCCGAAGATTTTTCTGTAGTGCTTGTGTTTTTTCCTTGGAAAAAATATGAAGATATTAATTCAACCCACTCACGTTGAATCATTAGACAGTGCCTATTCAAGTATTTGTTCATATAGTAGGTAAAATTGTGTATTGAGTATCTGTGAAAGAAAATCTCCTAAATAGTCAGTTGAATGATTCGTCTGATGATCCAACTTAAGCGGTTCAATTTTGGTGCTTTTCAAACATCTGAAAATAGGTGAATGTGCGCTTTTGAGGAACAACCGCAAATTATTAGCATTTACCGAAATGAAAAGGGGAAAACCTGTATCCATTATACTATTAGTACATATTTTGATTGGTTCTCTTGTGTGTATCAACAGCATCTGCAAAGCTTGCCTGTTCTTCTTATTCCAGTCATAATAGGGAGACTGAGCAGCCACAATGTTGAGTTCAAGAGACTGAAAAGAAATACGCAATGTAATATAACTTAAAAGCAGACAGATACATACAGCTGGTTTATACACACATTGAAAATATTTCTGAGAGAAATACAGTTTAAATCAAATCAAATCAAAATATACTTTATTGTCCGCAGATTTGCATCATATTGACAGAGTTCAAGAAATACTGTGTTAATATAAAAAAAGTAGTGAAAAAGTATAAATGTAGATATAAAAAAAATCCAAAAATGTATGAATGTATTTATAAAAAAAGTTCTAAAAATGTATAGATAAAATACCACTATGTATAAAGTGCTAGTACAAAGAATAAATTGCTAATATATTGTTGAAAGGATTCGCTAAAATACTCTTCCAAACTATAATAGGGTCTATCAACAAGTAGGTTCTTCACCGCCTTTTTGAAATGAATATTGCTTAAATTTGCAGATCTCATTTCTAATGGTAAATAATTGAACAATTTACCACCATTATAGTATATGAAATCCTTCGATTTATGATTATAAATAAGGCACACTGTCTCTAAGATAAAAAGTGCGATGACTGTTAACATTTTATTGGCGGTGAACAAATTCTGAAGCTCTACTTGATCCGGTAGAAGAATATCCTTCAAATAGTACCAGGAAGATTGCACTGTAGCTGGAAGTCAGCCCAAAAACCGTAAGAACAGTTCTGAAAAGAAACCTCCTATACCCTGTAACTAAATTTGTTGGTATATTCATTGACAATAATTTAAAATTTGATACGCAAATTACAGCTTTAAATAATTACCTTCTGGTTACTTTGCCATAGATGCCATATCTCGTGAACTCGGATTTTCAGCAGCAATAAATGCATACTATTCACTTATGGAGAGTCATTTCCGGTATGGAATTCCTTTCTGGGGCTCAGGCAGTCAGATTTTGATGTAGAGTATATTCGTTCTCTAGAAAAGAGCTTTGAGAATAATATTCAACTTGAAAAAATTGATGGATGTAGCCGTTACTACGTGGTAGGAGATCATGATGGAAAGAGAAATGAAAATTTTTATGTTTTTTACCACTTTATTGTTTAAGTTTGAAAATGTCCATATAGGACGAAACTGCAGTAACGTTAGTTACAAATAAAAATGGTAAAAAACATAGACATTTCCATTTCTTTTTTTACCAGAATAAATATCTTAATAGAGTAATTCCATGTGCTTAAACATTCAGGACGCTACATGAAAGATTATGTGAAAGTGAGAAGTGGTGGAAGACCAGAAACGGTAACAACGCCTGAACTAGACGAAGCTATCCTTGATGAGGTAGAAGAAGATCCTTCAAATAGTACCAGTAATAGTGCACTGTAGCTGGAAGTCATCCCAAAAACCGTATGAACAGTTCTGAAAAGAAACCTCCTATACCCTGTAACTAAATTTGTTGGTAAACTACCAGATATGTTAATCATAGATATGTCATTCATATATAGCAGAAACAGAATAGGGCCTAACACAGAACCCTGTGGTACACCAGATTCAATGGTCCTGTTCTCCGAGAGTTCCGTTGTCCTCACCAATTGACTCCGACCTGAAAGGTACGATTCGAACCAAGTGTTCGATACACCTCTACATCCATATTTGTGAAGTCTTTTTAATAAAATTTTCTGATTGACGCAATCAAAGCTTTCAAATATCGCAAAAAATTGCGGCGGCTACTTCACCAGCATTTAATTCAGAGTAAATTTCATATAAAAAAGAGAAGATAGCATCATTTGTATCTTTTTCCGCTTGAAATCCAAACTGGTTTTTGCTTATAATACAGTGCAGTTTCAAGAATTCATCTAAACGTACTTTGACTAATTTTTCAATAATTTTTGCTAAAGTCGGTATCGAAGAATCAGTTTTGGTTTTATTTCAGTTTTTCCTTATGTGCGCAATTACCCCACTTCCCCCCACTAGTAGTTGTGATACTGTTTTAATCTGTTGTGATACATGATCAAAGAGTTGAAATCCAGTCATAATACTTACGTCATCTTTCAACCCCTGGCCATGTTTTATGAAAATTAATGTAATTATGGCTGACGGGATTATTTCCAGTATCCCTACTAACATAGATTCTACATTAGATGCCTGTAACAGAAAACAATTATCACTAATGGTGATAACATTCTTCATAGCAGAGTTTTATGATTAAAATAATAATAATCTGTTTTCAATCCTTTCAGATCACATACAGCATGATACATCACAAATAAAAACCATGAGATAGATTAACAATGAATAATGGTGAAACATCACTATTGAACAGATTTGAACACATACAGGGTGACAATTTGAAAACTTACAAGGTCTATCTCTGAGCAACCAAATAAAATATAAGAAGTTGCTGAAAACAACTTCCATAATAGGGAGGGGGAAAGAAAATTATGTAATAGCAACATAAACTTTATAGTTTTGAATGGCAACTACCTATACTCGTGATACATTATCTGAAAGCTCTTGAGAAATGCTCTTCAATGGTACCCCACAAAGCTACATTCGATGTAGTAAGTTTTGGTTTATCAAATAAAAAACTATTTGTTCAAAATGAAATTTCATTTTCTATTAATAATTTAAAAAATATTCAAAAACATTCTCATTACCATCGTAGCCTGTACGTAGATTTACTTGATAAGTGAAAGTAACAAAAAAGGGGTGTTTGAAATATCCGATTTTGAGAGATATTTTTGTATTGCATTTTCTACTTCAGAACGGGAAACGATACTCTTATTATTAATAGGTACCTACATTTGATTTTCATTTCGAAACGTTGTACACGAGAAACAGAATTTTTATCTGCAACAATGGTGTACAACACAGCTGAACGTGTGGAAATGATTTTGATTTATGGTAGAAAAGATCTAGTAGCAAAATTTCAATAATAGTCACTTACGTTGAAAATCACAATCAACTCCATTGTGAAGACGAAAGTCCAGCAAAAAAAATAAACCATCACCGGCCATGTTTTCACAATACCCAATGCATCGAATAATCTGTGAAAGTAAAAGAAATCATCTATTGAGCGGATGGGTATTATACTGAAAAATCACGAACAAAGCTACTAATTACAAAATATGAAAACAAAATACA